GYKATACCGWCGTYTCTGGAGTTTTGGCGAATTTTTTAAATAGTCCTGGAATTTCTCGCGCGTCTTTTACGGTAACAGAGACATCAAAAAAATCAGTATGCAAAAACTTACTGAGAAAGACGCATTATACGGCAGTTGATAGAAATTTCTTCACGTAATATGCCCTGAAACTTGCAGAATTGTAGCAAAGTCTGCGTAGTTGCGGCGAATTTTTTTAAGTCTTGGATTTTTTCGTGCGTCGTTTACGTTAGCAGACACTTCAGAAAATCACTATGCAAAAACTGTATTATGGAGAAAGAATCTTTAAACACCAATCAATAGAAGCTGCTTCGCGTTATATGCACAGAAGGTCGCAAAATTGTAGCGAAGTTTGTGGAGCTTTGGCGAATTTTTGAAATTTTCTTCGGAAAAACTCTTAGAATTTTACACGCGAGTTTCACGTTAACGGATACTTTAAAAAATTTATATGTAAAAATTCTGTTACAGAGAAGAACGCTTTCTACAGGAATCGATAGAAGCGGCTTCACATTTTCTGCCCTGAAAGTTGTAAATTTATGTCGTATTTTTTTGAGCTTTCGCAAAATTGTTAGGCAAAAACTAGACTAAAGATAAAAATTCTTCAGAAGCAGGAAATAGAAAACACTAAAATATGCCCAAAAAGGAGCAAATTTTAATTCCATGAATGCCCAAAATCGCGCTTCCACTTTGCTTAAAGCGGACAAACAGTAGCAAATTTGGAAAAAAGCAACTGAACTATTGAAATGTGTTTGAAACAATTTTACGCATGCTTTTCTAAATATAATTTTATACTGATATTAAATACAAAATTTACAAAATGTATTAGTTGCTTAATCCCTGGATCGTGGACCTTGCTGGGTGAAGGATTCACATACTTCCTTGAAGTCTCTGAAAAAGAAACTTTAAAAAGTAACTAAATCGACACTAAGGATTAATTATTTCCTCAATTTAATTTATTTGTTTTTCTAAGTTTTTTGTTGCCCATTTTTCCTGCCTCAATTTTTAGCTACCAACTATAATATAGCTATAAACCATACAGATAAATTCCATAAGGTTAGTTGGGGTTGGAACACAGTTGCAAAACCCCAACTTTGAGGCAAAAGACACACATTCTGCTTTAAATTTACACGTCAACAATGGGCTTTTTCAAGCATTTTAATTGACTTTAAAACTTACTCAATATACTGGGGAATATTCGTATCAGACGTTATATAATTGTGTCCGTAACCATAATCCGAAGAAAAAATGTGCGTCGTCACGCTGCCTTGGGTGGCAGAATCCCTTTCAACGCTTGAGATATTTGCAAGCTAAAATTCACACATATACAAGGATGATTGTTATCCAGATGCAAAAAACATCAAATTTTTCTTTTTTAAAGGACCAACATACCTTTTCTCCCAGAGCTGAGGGAATCATGCCATCATCCTCCGCATGCAAAATCATGATGGGACAATCAACGTGAAGAATATGAGTGGTTGAGTAGAAGTGAAACCCATTTTCATCCAAAGGATTTAAAATAGTTGCATTAAAATACGCCAGCCAACTGTATATCTAAAACAACATAGAAGAGAGTTGGTTGCGCTTTAGGCGCAGTTTGGAAGCCAGAATTTCACCTTGCCAACTGCATTATTCTCAATGGCTTCAACTAGAGTAGTAAACGTGGACTCTAAAATCAGTCCTGTGGGAACAGCATTATTGCGCTCCTTTAGAGCCCGCACTATATGGCAGCTCAAAGCCCCACCCAGTGAATGGCCCCAATAATAAATGTTTTTCGTGAAGTTCTTGGCCAGGATCCAGTCGTAGATCTGCAGATGGTCATTTATCATTCCATGCTCCAGCATTTGCACGTTGGAACCTGAATCTCCATAGCCTGAAAAGTTAACTCGTCCAGCTCTAAATAACCAAATAATTAACCCTCCTGGACCTACCTCGATGGTCAATAGCCAGAACCAAAAATTTCTTCCTGAACACTTTGTACTGAGCAATTGGCTTGGCGCGATTCGCGTAAACCCCATGAAGAAACACTAGAAGATCGTACTGGGATTCTCGGATAATTTGCGAAACGTCGTTTGAGGGGGAATTTTGCAGGTTTTCAGGTAAAATAAGCCATGCTCCTATTTGGGTGAGTGTATTATTGTCGTAATAGTCTCTGACTGTTATGTATGTGTTGTACACATTATCTATACCATATTTTTCGGGATCATCAAACTGTGGATCCTTTGGAGAATCGACTGAAAGTGGGAAAGTTTTACTTTCATTAAGCACAACTGGTGAATATTCAACTCAATTCAAGGTATAAGGACGATAAATATTGTAGAATCTAAAACTCCATAAGAAATGAGTTGAGCAACAAAACCACAGTAGCCGGTCTACTCAACAGACTCTTGATATTCGATGTGAAAAATCACTTAATTTTTATCAATTAGATTAAAAAAAATATTTGCCAATTAAGCGATCTAAAGTGTTTATTGGCAATATTTTTCCTGAGCTTCGTAAAACTGAACTCGGTTCTAGCAGGAAATTTAATGCCGATTTTCCACAGCACTTTGGGACTTACTTGGGTAGAAAATCATGAATCTTTGGAATGATATGGATGTCCAAAAGATTATTGGAACAACTACCCATATCAAGAGGAAAACTAGGAACAGTATGATAAACCTAAAATCCACATCAAATTGGCCGAAAAACTCGGAAAAGTTTAAAAGCTTACAATACTGCTAAGCTCCAGATCAGAATTTTCTGCCAAACTGGGCGCTCTTTTGCAGTCTCATTGTCATCGCTTTCTGGCGATGAAGAATCCTGCGAATATCTTCTCTTCTGCGAAAAAATCATTAAATTCAATATGGTTATTGAAACAATCGAACAGTTTTCACCGCAAATGCTGCCCGATATTTGCAAATCAAGGTTCAAAAGTGACCACTGGAAAATTGTATTTTTGCATTAAATTCCTAGTTTATGTATATATACTTACTTTGCAACAGCAACAGCATTTACTATCCCCCATTCGATGTTTTCCTAATTGTACATGTTACACATAACTTCACCAAAATTAAGGCGCACACACACTGACTCAACAAAGGTGATACTTAATTCATCTGATGCTTTATCGATAACTCTCCTGGCGATTAAATTTGATATATGTACTGGATTAAGATAAAATTGTTGTCAAACAGCGGCCACAAAATGTGTAATGAGTTTTATTTTTAGAAACTTGTAACTTGCGGAAGCGAGTTTTTGAAACTTGCAAACGCGGTAGCAACTTATGCCTCGAAAACTGGTGAAAGTTCGTCAGTTGATAAGAAAATCGTAAAAATGACTGAAAGGGTAAAGAATTATGTACACAAATTGATCTTTTTAATAAAAAATCATCCAAATTTTTGATTGCCTGAATTTTACAGCCAATCAAGGCCTTAACAGGCATTTCAAAAAATCCATGTGCAAACATTGGGTTAAAGAGAAAGACGCTTTATACAGAACTCAATAGCAGCTACTTCAAATTTTTGAACTAGTCTTGGAATTTCATTTGCGTCTTTGATGTTAACAGACAAGTTAAAAATCAATTGCGCAAAAACTGTGCTACAGAGGAAAACACTTTATATAGTCATCAATAGCAGGTGTTTCACGTTATACGCCCGAAAAGTTATAAATTTATAGCTTTTTTTGTGGAGTTTTGGCGCATTTTTGAATTAGTCTTGGATTATCATACGCGTCTTTGATGTTAACAGACACGTTAAAAATCAATTGCGCAAAAACTGTGCTACAGAGGAAAACACTTTATATACTCATTCATAGCAGATACTTCACGTTATTCGCCCGAAAAGTTACAAATTTATAGCTTTTTTTGTGGAGTTTTAGCGAATTTTTAATTCGCCTTGGAATTTCATACGCGTCTTTTATGTTAACAGACACGTTAAAAATCAATTGCGCAAAAACTGTGCTACAGAGGAAAACATATAGTCATCAATAGCAGGTGCTTCACGTTATACGCCCGAAAAGTTATAAATGTATAGCTTTTCTTGCGGAGTTTTGGCAAATTTTTGAACTAGTCTTGGATTTTCATACGCGTCTTTGATGTTAACAGACACGTTAAAAATCAATTGTGCAAAAACTGTGCTACTGACAAAAAAACTTGATATAGTCATCAATAGCAGATACTTCACGTTATACGACCGAAAAGTTATAAATTTATAGCTTTTTTTGTGGAGTTTTGACGAATTTTTGAATTATGTAGTCTTGGATACGCGTCTTTGATGTTAACAGACACTTTTTGAGATATTTAGGCAATTGGCTCAAAAATTGCAAAAGCCAGAAAGTCAACACAAAATAAAACTTCGAATTTTAACGCCCTGTAACTTTTCTCGTTATTTTTTAGCTTTAATTTCCTGCTTTTATACATTTTAAATAGCCAATTAATCCCCATGAAATCCTCCCGCCTTTCTAAATCAAACAGGCAAATTTAGCTTTTTATGCCCCGATCTGCACAAGCTATATTTAGTTCACCCTACGTACACGGTGTCCCAAATTGGTCATTATTAATGCGATATATTAAAAATTGACGAGGAATGAAACTTGAGTTACGTTCATTTTTAATGAGGACACATCTCATAGTGGCGACAGAATTCCCTATGCGCTGTCTCGATGTTGGGAACGAGACATAAAGCCGATTGCTTACTTGCGAATAATTTATTTTACACATATATAGTACCATCTTAAAGTCAAAATATAATCGATTATATAAAAGGATCCCTTAAAATAAATTGGTAAATAGAGCAGCTTTGGTAAATTAAGTTATGACACAAAATAATAACTGATCAATCAAGAAAGATTCTTGATACAAAACCAGTCATAATGTTATTGATAAATTTTCCAAATATTTACAGGCTGATGAATTATTACCTATCAGATTTACATTAAAAGCCTATGTTAATAACATTATTATAAGTATTTATTGTAACATCACATATAAGAAAATCTACCGATCTAACAAGTACAATATCGAGCTTTAAATTCGAGTCTACCTAAAGTTTTAGATGTAACACTGATGATTTATACATACGTTTTCTTAATGTAAACACATTATACATTATAGACTATAACAATTTCAATAAATAGTAGAAATATACTTTGAAACTAGTTTTTTAGTTTAGTGCCAACAGCATAACAAAAAATATTGAAATAGGTATCTCAATAGAGCTTTGCCCAATAAATAAGCCGGAAATTTATCCTCAACTTTACCGGCTAATAGCCAATTTACACGTGTAAGTATCGGGCAGATTACCACCACAGTTTTAATAGTTTTTGAAGTAGTTATCTGCTGGATGAAGTTGGTTGGGGTTGCAAATACCCGCCCCAACTAATCAGGATTTGCATAAAACAGTGAAACTTCCTCGGAATTATCGATCCATTTTAGTTTATACGTAGAGAACTGAGAATGAAATGAGCATTGAGAATTTGTCCTCATCAACGTCCCAAACCAACAAAGCCAAGAACAAGGACCCTTAACAGTTCTATATGTACAAAACACCAACACAAAGCAATGTAGGAAACCACATAAGCAACAGCCTTAGAACACAATATTTACAACTCGGCATGATCTAAGCTATCGGGCTGATAAACATATCTATAATCCATACCGTCGCTGTGTCGGCTCTTCGGAAACACCAAATCGTAGTATTTTTCGTTTTCCAACTGCAAAGGCCTCGGCCTGCCATTCGCGTCCCGATCTGTCTTGGGATTTTTGTTTTTCGCGTTATGCGATCGTCGTTTGTATTTTTTTTCTTTGCCGTTGTGGTACGAGCCAGCGATCATGGTCGATGCGTACGACCAATTGTCGTTCGGCCTGGGCAGTTCATAGCGATTGAAGCTGTGGTATTGGCTGAAGCTGAGCGGGCGGTGCACATCGATCGTATCAATTCCCATGGTTGAGTTATTTTGTTTTGTCGGTTCGGTTAAGGAGTGACGATGGTACCGATCCTCGAAACTACTCCTACCATTGAAAGTGTGTGTTGTGGAAGGATGATGCTATACATACATTTACAGCAGTGTTAGTTTTCGTGTTAGTTTCTTTTTACAGATTTTTATTTCAGCTTTTACATTTGGCGATTGCGCTTGGTTTGGTTAAGAATCTCCAGCTGGGGGGCTTTTCCCACAAGTTTTCGCCATTTTTTGCCCGCATTCCGAGTTGGAAAATAAAATCAAATTTTTTGACCTGCATTTTTTCACTGAAATTATGGAATATTGTCTTCCGCAAATTCATCTCTCTAGTCTTGCGCATTTTCGGGTAAAATCGGCTTTTTTGTTTCAGCTGTTCAGTTTCATGTGATTTTTTCAAATCCCCAATGGCTTCAAATCTGCTTATTTCGGCAGCCAATTCATGGAAGGCATAGTTGCATTTTTCTTCGAAATTTTCTGCCCTTTACTTTCGTTTTAAGGCCAAAACTGAGATTTTTGACAAAAATTAAAATTTGCGACTAAAAATTAAATACAAAAATGTTCTATGAAGGATTTTAAATCGGAATATATTTTCCAAACTATTTGTTTCCAAGCCTCTCGTAAAGGAGTTTACTTTTTTTTTGGTTTTTGTTGGTTTTCAGGCTAAAACTCAGGATTTTTGAAGAAATATAAATTTGCAACTAAAAACGAATACAAATATGAACTTTATGATCCCTTTTAAATGTGGTCTTTTACCACTTTCATAATAAATTTGATTTTAAAATTGCTTTTCCATCTCTTGTAAAGGGGTTAAGCCTCACCGTGTCAAGATCACAATGTTGTTTTCATTTCACATAATCCTCTGCCCTCCACTTCGGTTTTAAGGCCAAAACTGAGATTTTAGTCAAACTAAACACTTGCAAGTAAAGATGCAAAAATGCTTTTCAGGGCTCTTAACTATTGTTTCAAATTGTATTTTTTCCTATTTTTTTTTCTTTAATTCTAGAGTTGCTTTTCCATCCTCTGTAAAGGGGTCAAGCCTCCCCTTGTCAGAGGCACAATGTTGGTATATTTTTTCATAATTTCTTGGCTCCTTCACGATTATTTTAATGCCGAAACTTACATTTTTGAAGAACCAAAAACTTGCAACTAAAGATTAAATAAAAAAATACCGCATGGGAGCTTTTAAGAGACAGCAAATCATTTGAAACTGTTTTTTTTAAACAAAAAATGTTCTGCCCTTTACTTTGGTTTCAAACTCAAAACTAAGACTTTTAAAAATCTTGCAACTAAATATTAAAAACAAAACTACCTTTTAAAGGGGAACATGTATTTTTAAACTGTTTTTCAGTTCTTCCATATTAAATTTAATTCCAGTTTTTTATTTAATTTTAGTTTTTCGATCTTTCGTAAAGGAATCTTCCATTTTATTTGCAGGTAAACTATGAACATGAAACGCTGACACTAAAACCGTCGATATTCGCGTTCAAAATGATAAAAATTGTAAAAATTACAATTTTAACAAAATACTGGCACAAAAGTGAATTTTACATTCTGAGCAAAAACTACTGAAACCGTAGATATTTGTGTTCAAAAAGCTAACAATTGAAAAAATTAAATGTCAACAAAATACTGGCGCAAAAGTGAAATTAATGTCCTGAGCACAGTAAATTGAAGTCAATAAGCCGCAAAAAATTAAATTAATCAATTCAGATTATTCGTAAATTTTTCAAAGCTCTTAACCAAACCGCGCATCAATCAATGCATAAACTTTCGTTAGTCCGTTACCCATTACATGCCATAATATCTAGGAAAATTACAATTTAAAACTGACGAGTAGTTTCTTAATTAATAATCTAACTAGAATGGTCGACATTCTTTTGCAACTAGTTATCTTCACAGTGCACCAAAGTGTCCCAAATTCCATTCGAACAATGTCTCCGAGCAAGATAAGTAATGCAAAAGATACACGAGTGAACAGAGATGAAGATGAGTGGCGTGTTCTGATCTGTCTGCGCCTTTAGCTGCCCTCAGAATCCAAAATGACGGCGCTTCGATGCGATTTAAAATCAAGTGAGATGATTTGAGAAAGTGCTCAGAACTGGAGTGGTCTGTGTGAAAAGAACAGTGTAAGTGACAGTATTAGTGTTTGTTAGATCAGGAAGAATGGCAGTTTGCTCGATTCGTGCCAGTTTTTTAGTGATAATATTCATCGTGTTTCTGTAAACTTGTTACTGATTCAGCAATTTTTTGTCCAATGAACCAAAATTATCACCTAAAAACTGGCCTCAAATCCATGACTAGAATGATCGCAACACTAAATAAAGAAACCGTCATTGGATCAATTCCAGCCACAGAATAGCATCAATGGCAAATCCCGATTCTTCTCAAGTAGTTAATGAATGAGCCAAGTTGATAACACCGCCAAATAAACGAAAAAATCCAAAAGCGAATTTAGTGATGTTAGAGTGCAAAGTGCTGTTATGTACAAAGTGCAACAGTGTGGTGCAAAATGAGGTCCTAGATCTACTTTGAGTATTTACAATCATATTCTATGGTTCCAATTGAGTTCTAGAATTGGATATGCAGGGTTCGATTCAAATAAAGCAGCACATGTTATAATGGAAATTCCTGTAGATTTAACGAAGGAAATTTGGTTTTTTTGGTCCAAAATAACAGACTGGGTGGAACATGTCCTGCGCAATTTTAGGACGAGCCCCTCTTTGTCTCCAGTTTCATTTTCAATAGAGCTATTTCACCCTGTTTTACAGAAATTCTTAATATTATTGTCAAAAATTCCCTTATCTTTTCTACCTAACAATGTAAAAAATTACTTCTCCCATTATGTGCAGAATCATCCGTTTTGTTAATGACGCGTAAAACATCTATTCTATTTTGTTGCCCCAAACTAAAAATGTATAATGGATCTCTTACTTAAAGATACACTGGATTAGAGACTACAAAACGACGCATACAATCTGCTGGTTAGCTACAGACCGAATTTATGTGTTAGAGGCACAGATATTAAAATTTGATGACAAACATGGACAAACAGAAAAAATAACACTAAATAACATAAACAAACATAACATTGGTTGCGCATCGGCATTATTTGTGCAACAGGGTGACAGAAAACTTGATTGTGATGCAACATGCTAACGATTTTAAATCGACCACTTTCGACAGCAATTCACAGTCCGATTGTGAAATTTTGGTAAATTAAATCATTAATTCCGCATTTCTCAACAAAGAAACAGTCTTAGCAAGAGCACAATTTCCCATAAGACAAAATGTGTGTTATCAGCCCCAAATATGTGAAATGTTTTCATAAAATTATCAGCGTTCCACATCGGCATATTCGGTTCCAACTTCCCCAACATAAAACCAATGAACCCTTCCATGCCCCGATTTTGCGTTGTCAATCAGCGGATATCTGGGCAAATATGTGCGAAATAATGTTTTGTATTTTCCCCCCGGCCAGATAAAGCTGCTAAAGCCGCCCATCAGCCCATAATATGTGTGTAATCGTTAACATCATTCAAAGCCTAGTTTCATGTTGAATTTGTTTTGATCACAACTGAGTCTGGATCGAACAATGATAGTGTTTAACAAGCCAATCGGCTTAAATGCTGTGCAAGTTGATGGATTCTGGTTTCGAGTTCCACACAGTTTTCCTAAACAGCTCATTGTCCTAAAACTGTTGTTCTGATAATTGGAACATTGTAGATGTTAGTTTGAAGGATAATTTAGTGTTTCTAGGCAGGGGAAAAGAGGTTTTAATGGGGTGAAATCACCGGACAATTAGGCAATGGGAATATGATTTGGTGAAATTTCATTATAGATTGGGGCTAAGAATAAGTGTTTTCTCACAGATGAATGCTCAATTAAAAAAATATCTGTGAACACAAACTAAGTACGCATCACATGGACACAACTCCTTTATTTGCAACTTGTGGTCTAAAAATTCAAGTTTTTACCCGATTGTACATTAATTTATTAAAAACGCTTTCCAAGGTAACTTATTTAGTGCTCAGTAGATTTTCTTTTTCGAGAACTTTTTCATTTGTTCTCGAAACAAACGGTAATTTTTTGAAAACAGACTCCAATTGGGTTCAAACATCCATTTTGAGCGAAAGCCCAGAAAAACTTTCAACATCTTCACGCTCAAATCTATTGATCAATGAAATGAAACCGCTAAGTATACCAATTTGTGCTGCCGCTCCGGTTAAAAACCGAAGTTTATTGCGAATTTCTCCCAAACATATGATTCATGCCCATAAAAGGGCTCCACCTTATATTTGCCCAATATTCCATAAATAAGGTGGAGCAATGGCTCGGCCACCTCGATCACCTGACCTAAACAATCCGGACTGCTAGTGAGCAGAAGCAAAGGGAGGAGTTTTTCCAAAATATTGAAAGTAGGAACTTCGAGTTTCACAAATTATACAGGTTGCTTCCGCTTCGGTAAATATTTAGTGTTTCTTAAGTCCAATTGATTGCGATTTTTGTCGCCAGCGTAATCCACATCTGCGGGCATCAAAATAAAACAATAATAAATTCTCCAGTTTAAAAAGAGACTAAAAACTAGAAAGTTTCGCACATTTTAGATGAAGCTTTAGCCCGAACAACTAAATAGCATACACGCAGACACGATTTTTGGTAAGTTGCAACTTTAGGTCTAAAACTGGACGAACAGAAAAAATTCTTTGGTTCCAAAAAATGTCACACATTGTGGAAGAAGCCGCAGTATATACAAACGCAAAGTTTCACTTAAATACCATTAAATCCAGACATTTTTAAATTCTGATTCTTAGGAAATCTTCTTGGAGTCTCACTTCTTTGTATTTTGGCCCACTGCAAAACTTTGGGGAAAGTGTTGCCTAGAAATCATTTCATTCAGATTTTTGAATAATTGTAACTTCTACTCAAAAAATGGCAGTTTTCAGTTGCTACGTAATTGCTAAAACGTGTTTTTTTAATCTGAAAAAAGCCGACATGTAAAATTATACAAGATGAGATCAAGAACTCGATACAAGGGAGCTGCGACTGGCATAAAGCCAGCAAAAGTTTAGAAAATACACTCAGAGATCACTTTATTTTAGGGGTTCTTTAGAGGATCAAATCGCCTACACTCGGATCGTCCCATAAACATCGTATATGCGGGGACAATTCTCAGCAGCCCATGACGAATTCTACACATCTTCTGAACTGATCATCCAGAAACAGAAACAGAAATTTCATCCAGAAACAGAAAAGGCGAGAGGAATTATAAGCAAAAATCCCATTCGAAGAATAAGGAGCTTTTTGAATATCAAAAACCTTCAGTTTATAAATGGAGAGTGAGAACTGATACGATTTCGTTCAATTCCTGCAGGTCTTCGGGAGGCTTTAATACATTTAATTCCTATAATCCCTGAGCATATTCCTTGTTGTGTCACTTCTTCCGCAAGCAACCCTCTTCAATCCCTCCCCAATGGGCGGATTTCAAATATCTGCAAGTTTCCCAACCCAACAAATTCGATCGTAAATAATAAGCACGGCATTGATAGCCCCCATAGAACGCGTTTTCACGCTAAAATGATTATATTGAACGCATCAAGATAATGTACTCATCTGTCTAAATTGAATTATGTATATTTACATTGTTTTAGTGTGGTAATCGCTAGATATGTGTGTGCATACGGCAGTAACCGGTGAAATTGACATAGGTAAGCGTGGATTTACCAGACCAATTTAAGTGAGACGCGCTGACATGTTCCAGCTTACCCCAACTATACGGGCTAGAGGCAAATTTTTTAAACTTTTCAATAATTCGAATAAAAGTTCTCGATACCCATTGAGTTGAGGTATATGAACCTTCAAGTGGTTCTTAAAAAGATGTAGGTAGGTACCTTTCTTGAAATAATCCAGAAAAATCCCTCAAACTCTTGCTAGCGACTGATTCCCTGAAGTTCCACACGCTTTCCTTTCCTCCAAAAGGAAGCAATTTTCCAGAGAATCTACCGGAAAATGCTGATTGATCGCACACATTTAAAATAGTTAGCATCGATACTCGATGACGGTGGCGTTTTTGCCGTGGGGCCGTCCAAGAGTGGCGGAGGTGGTCAGTTCGAGCACATGGTGCTCATGGAGTAATTTGTGTTCTACACTCCCACCCCTAGTGGACCGCCCCGTCAGCATCGTGCAGTGCTACACTCTAGTGGGCGGTTGGAGAACCATTGCAGCCAGACGTACCTTCATGGCGTCGGGGTGGGCGCCGCCCCGTGGGCCCGTCGTGTAGATGGCGTCGGCCGGAATCCCACCCTGTCCCAAAGCGCCCGCTTGATTCTGATTGTTGGTCAGATGATGGGCGGTTTTTTCTATGTCCAGTTTCTGGCTACAAATCGAAACAGTTTTTCAAATTTTCTTTTGCTCAAACAAAGCAAGATCAGAAAAGCTCTTTGATTCTAACGGGCGTTTGTGGATTAGATCGATTTTCTCGTAAAGCTTGACTGGCAATGCCTGAACCTTAAAAAGTTAGGAGTGAAAGTTGGCAAGTAAAACGCTAGACATGAAGGGAAAATAATCTTTTAGATAGAGCGGAATGCAAGCTAGTTTTTCCTCTTTACGGCTGTAGAAAAACTACTAACCTCTAAAAGACTGTAAGCAAATCTTATAAACAGTCAACATTTGCCACGCAATTCACGTAAACATTTCTTAACCCCTGAAGAGACAAACGCAAACATATTTATTCCTATTTGCTGAAAACCCCTTGATAACATCCGAACAATCGCAATTTTCCTTCGTCCAAGTCTTTGTGCAAATGCGCCTAAAATTTCTACCCTCTTACTGACTAAAAGACAAACTTACGATGTTGAACTTTGAAAAAGTTTACACTTATCTGTAACGGACTTGAAAATATCTAAACATTTATAAAGATCTTTTCCATAGAGCATATTGAGTGCTATTTTTCCGCATTGCAGGTGCATTTGTGTAGGACACAATTAACTTCTAAAAAAGGAAGACGCAAAGCCTTAATTTTTTTGCTCAAATCTCCTAAACGGTTGAAAATACCTGAATAACCATTAGAGCTTTTTTGATAGAGCGACTTACTATCTGCTTCCTTCTATGTGGGATTCGCTACAAAACCTAACCTTTAGAAGTTATAAGCAAAAATATGAAATTGTGAAAAACTTGGAGTTTAAAGACGCTTTAAAATATTCGACCCTAAGACTAAAATATTATTTAGTTAGAAAACTCGTTTCTGTAAAAGTGTCTAGAACTTGTTTCGGCCCAAATGTGTTTGGATAGCAAAGTTTCTCTGTACTGTTTTTCCGCATAAAAATTGTATTATAAATTCCAAACCTTTGAAATTTGTGAACCGCAAATCAGAAACGAAGTCGAGGCTTAAGAGCTTAAATTACTTTTAAAAATTTGTCGCATAATATTCATTTGCAAACTTTTCCAGCTTGCCCCGTTTGCTTCAAATTTGTCTTTTCTTAAATAAAAACTGTAAAAACCCTCAGTATTTTTCCTTTTATTCGATATAAGACTTAGTACATTTAAAGGCAGCAAATGAAAACGCACTTTTGCAAAAATATCAGCTCCCGAAATAACACATAAAGATCATAGAAATGGCAGCGATAGCGCTTTTCTGCCAAATAATAGTTTAATTCCGCTTAGTTCATATTGGGCGAGTATTTCGATGCTTATTTGAGTTCTCATTAGCTATTCCACACATTAACAGCCGGTAAAACAAGCAAAACCGATTAGATATGCACTTTATAAAATTACCGGGAGATCGAAACGCAATAGCGGCCGTTCACAATGCAGGGAGGCCCAGCAAGGTTTTGTTAATTGCGTCGAATTTATCGCTTCCTGACGTGCCAAAACACCATCATGCTCATTTAACAACGGAAACAGAAAAAAAAACAACACAGTCGATTGCAAATATTTTCCCGAGAAGATTAATCTGCGCGAGCAAATACAAAACATGTTTTAATCCATTTGAGACTGCTCCGGTAGGAATAAAATTTAAATTCGTATTTTTCGCAAAATCCTGCAGAGCATAATTTCTGCAAGCAAATATTTACTTAAAACTATTTTCGACGTGCAGCATTGAATGTCTAAATTACGAGCCTTATAGCGGTATTGAAAGCGCAGCATTAAGCTGTTAAAATAGTGAAATTACATAACCGGGAGCAAGAGAAAATATATCATTAAACATTAATAAGATGATTATAATCCAATTCCAACCGTCATTATCATATGATGAGCCGTTGAAATATCGTTAGGCAATCGGGCCATATCAACGTTAATAATTAAGCAAATTTGGTCGAGTATATAACCATCGAACATCGAATGGAACGCTCTACTTGTCGAAATCTGATTTAACCATGGGGAACCGAACGATGCGGGCAATTAAATATCAATTAATGTATTTTATAGTAGGCATTATCAAAGAAAGCAAACAAATCAAGCCAAAATGGGTTTGGTAATTAATGCCGAATTGCAGCATAATAATCAACTTCAGTCTGCGATTTAAATAGAATTCATCAGCTCCTCCTTAATGCCAAACGAACCACTGTTGTTGTTAAATTAATTTTGGCTAATTCCCAAAAAATCCCCAATGCTAATACTTCATTTTCCTACCAACATCTGTTCAAATTTGCATATTAAATGCTAGATAATGAAGAATGAAGACAAGGCGCCGATATGAAGTTAGTGTGGCATCATTTTATGGCTGATAAAAAGCCTCTAAGCCTCAAACTGTTTTTGAAATTAGCCAATTTGCTCCATCCATTTCGTAATGAAATTCTACATAAACCACTGTAGGTTTATAAGGCTTCACTTTACAGCTGCGGTTTTATGGGTTTAGCCATCACTTATATTGCGCCCCTTAAACCACACAGTATTTTGAAAATTCAATATTTCTACTCAAACAATGAAAATTATTCAACCCTTAATAATAAGAACAATAACAATAAGAATAATGGAGTAGAAGAAGCTTTATATTAACTTTTTGAAACCTTTTTTGTTCGAAACACCTCACAAGACACAGATAAAAATCAGAGTTAGTTGAAGAATGTAAAAATATCTCAGGAAACTCAGTTTGGAGGCAAAAAACAAACAATATCTTTGAATTCCTGGTAATGTAGAACCGTTCAAACGATCAAAAGAGAGAAATAAACATCCAAACTTTCACCTCTTTGAACTTTCACCTCATGTAGCAAAACAGGTACATGTTTTGAAATAATTCCCAGCTTATACAGATTTCGACGTGGATGTTTGGAGATTCAAAAAATAAGTCTGAAATTAAACCACAGTTTGACCAGAATGAAAAACCAGAAGGGTGAAAACAGCAGGCAAAAATAGAAAATATAAAACATCAAATTAAATTTCTTCTAATAAATAATTGACTTAATAACTCGGCGATTTCATAACTCTTCTAACTAAACGCTTTCTAACTGGAAAATATAAAAATCTCTAAGGAAACGGTCAGAAGCGTGCTGGCAGAACCAGTTTGGAGGCAAAAAAACAAATAATCTCTTTGACTGCCTGATAATGTAGAACCATTTTAAGGATCAAAAGAGAGAAACAAACATCCAAACTTTCACCTCATGTATCTTTTTTCTCTTGCTTTGAAGTAATTCCTAGATTGTATAGATTCCGATGCGATCTAAGATCTAAGGAAAGTCTAAGATCCATTTGTAAAAGAAGCGTCAACAATCAAGACAAAACAAGCTTTAAAAGTATGAAGTAGAGAATCAATGTAGCATTTCACATAAACGTTACATTAACTTCTTAAAACATTTTTTATTCGAATCACCTCACAGCTACCGCAAGAGCTAAAGCCGCAGATGAAAATCCGAATCAATCGGAGAACCTAAAAATATTTTAGGAAACGGTTAGAAGCGCGCTGGAAGAGCGAGTTTGTGGGCGAAAAAACAAAGTCTGTTTGAATGTCCAACAGCAGAACCGAAAGTTGCAAAATCTATAAAGAGGTGAAGAAAAAATCAAAAAGAAACATTAAAACTTTCACCCCCATCTTCTTCTTCCTGTCTTGAAATCGTTCCCAGATTGCACAGATTTTGATGTAGTTTTTTGATCCAAGATCCAAAACACAAGTCTGACATTACACCAAAGTATAACCAGGAGGAAAAACCAGATAAGCATTTATAACACTGATCAAGCAAACAAAAAATGCAGGCAAAAACAGAGAACACAAAACAGTAAATTAACTATCCGCTCGTAAATAATTTACATCATAACTGAACGATTTGATGAAATAAACGTGGAAAATTCGACAGATTTTCAACCGCCATTCCTGCTAAGATCGACTTGTGAAAGAACCGTCAACAATAAGGACAAAACAACAATAATGAAGTGCAAAGCGCCGAAACGCGTTGAAAATTTAAATCAGTGCCCTTCATGCCTAATAAAGCCACTTGCATATTAAGTGCTTCTATAATTTTCATTTAAACTGGCGTACTTTGAAGTTGTGTTGTTCCTGCTGGAAAAGTTTACTAAAAGCGGCCAAGTTTGGCAATGCAATCTCAAAACGCCACCGTACAAGCCAAACAGCTTCAATCGCTGTAATATGGCATGACGCAGCTGGAATATTCAACTAAACTATTGTTAAGATTACAGAAAGATACAAACACGAAAGGTAGAAAAATTTAAATATTTGCGATAATATTTTAGCGCATTTCAATATCGTTGCGGAATCGCTCTGAAGGTAAATACCATAGTTTTATAGGGTGGTTAATATCCGATCAGCATACCGCACGTTTAATAAAACCGAAACCGTATTTTCGAAGCAATAAAGCCAGCTGTAATAAAGTTAAATTGCGGCTATCTCAGCTCTAACTTATAAGCGAATACATGTAGAGTGCTTTTATAATTCTCATTTAGAACCGTCATGCTCTAGAGCCGAACTGTTAATGGTTTGAAAACTTCATTAAGTCAATCCGTATAAGTTTGCGATTCGGGTTTCACCCGGCCCGGAAGGAAGTTGGATATTGAAATCACTCGGCCGCAATAGGAGGATTTTTTTGGATGGAAGAGACAGAGACAGAATTTAGCAACCATCCGCAGGACGAAACTCTCAATTTTCGGTTTAGAACGCTGAAAGCCCGTAAACAAGGCCTGGTAACATGCAATTCGCTGGCAATAAGGTGTCGCTTCCATCACATATTAACGTGAAAACCGCACCGCTGTTCAAATACCACCTGCCTACACAAATTTGCTCCAAACTCCTTTAATAAAGCGCTTCTAAGATGACAGCCGGGATTTTCCAGCGCCGGATGTTTGATTATTTACGACCTGAGAATAACGTAAATTCAAAGCACGCCAAATTCCAACTGATGAATCGAAATCAGTCGGGCTCAGTTCAAATTAAAGATTTACATCTTCAGCTTGCTTCCATGGAGAATGGAAAACTGGAACTTTCAAATGTGTTGGCACAAGAACGGTGGAGAAACTGAATGAGAAGCTGACCACAAAGAGCGAGGTGGAAATATTGGAAGTAGGAGCAGAACTAAAACATCCTGTACAGTAATCCGGGCAGCTCGTAATCAGATAAGAGATATTGAGAATAAAACGATTGAAAGGGTGTCCCGATTTCGATGGCAAAGTAAAACATCTCTAAAAGCACTTTGCAGGTGGAAAGCCAAAATCAATAGACTTTTAAATTGCAAAACACCTCTTCGTGATTTTAACAGACGTCTGCAGCGGCTTTTAAAAATAGCGTTTTAGCTATTCCAAGCCTTATTTTTAGAGCTTGCTTTTATTGCCTTGTCTCAGCAGATAGATATTCAGTCAAATACGGGGGATCCGAGAAAACACCAACATGTAAATTTACCAATAAAACAAATGGAGAGTTTGAAGAAATAATCCTCCGTTTCTCAACAACGTAGAACGCGCCTCATTTGCAAGGGATCTGCTAAGTGCAACAAAGTCTTTGATTTGAGGGCTTTGAGTGTCCAGATTTTATACAATTAACAGAAAAATAGATTCTTCAGAGTGTGCTCAGAAAGGCGACTAATAGATTTACAAACTTTACATTTTTCTTTGGCAAACCAGAGACTTTGAGTCGCACAAAAAACAACAAGGAGGAGCTTTAATGAATCGTAATTTCGTTTCAAGTTCACAACGACTGCAGTTAAACATAAAAAAACTTGGATTGCTTCCAAACTCTTCATTCCTTCTGCAGTTTGTTATGCTTCATCTATATCTAGTTATACCCGTTGGGTTAAAAATAAAACATTCCTGTAATCTCAGATATTTTAGTCAAATTTAAAAAAAAATAGATAGTTACTCAAAATGAGTATAGTCTAACGAAATTAACTTGGAATTCGTTACTCTTTTAGTGACTTAAAGTTAACATTATTTGAAAAACGGTTCCTTGAAAAAAGTGCTGCCCAATTAATTAATACATTGTTGATGTCGATAAATTTCCTCCCTCCTGGAAAATCTTCAAGTCCATTCTGTCTCGTGCATCTTCAATAATTGAACAAAATTAATGGGGCTTTTTGTCGTATGAAAATCTGCCCTAACTTTATGAAATTCTCACAAAATTACGCAAATTAATAAAAAAATATTCGATAAGCATGATTTTGAATAAATTGTAAAAAAAGCGAAAAACCAGCTAAACGATTGGAAAATGAAAAAGTAATACTTGTGGTAAACTGATGAGTTTTTTGGGTTTCCCATTCTTTTCTACGTTGACCTAAAAGCCTGAAAAACTCCCCAGTTTCCCTACATGAAAATTACAAACAACAGAAACCGAACCAGATGAAAGACAATCTAGTGGACAAATCGAAAAAAATTCGGACAAATAAGTGAAAAACTCATGAAAAAGAAACTTGTAATCATTGCAGTAAATTCCGCTTAGCAATTATTGACAAAGCCTTTGTTCTATGGAAGTAATATTCCCCAAACTCTTCGTAATCCCATTCGAGCGCCATAAGTAACGACATAAATACAGACAACTGAGAAAAACCAGCAATGAAAATCAAATATTGAAAGCTCACGTTTACAATCCATTAAACGAGCTCGGTGTTTTACTTCCTTTGTATCTCGGACTTCGTGTAAAGTCACGTGAGACATTACCCAGTTTTCTTTATTGCCCGTACTTCTGTTTTATGTGTACTTACCCATCAATGTCTGATGGCTTGAAGTCACCCTTTCCTGCAATATAAAAATAATTGATTAAGTAGCACGTTTTATTAGCCAAACACAATTTTTTGCTGACATTTTTAGGCTTCCCTTATCGATTTTATTGATGGGATTAAATTTATCTCGGCTGCAAAACTAACAGCAGCATCACACTAAATATGGAACGATCATCTAGCGTTACAGCAAAAACAATAAATAGCAAACAGTTAATAAACAATCGAAATTGTGGTATTCTCGCTAATGAAATTAATTAAAATTTCGACTACGTTGATCTCTGTTGCATTAAACTGAACCAATAAATATTGAATATGCTTAGATTGCACTATTTAGGCAGTAGCAAAAATCTATTGATTTGATTTATCTGGTAAACTAAATCGGACGTAATACGGAATAAAATATGATTAAAATAATACATATTTAGTAGTCAAATAATATGCGCTCGCAGTAATAACGCTGTGTTACTTGACTCGCAACATAAATAACGAAGGAGTATTTGCGTTTCAATAATGAACAGCTTTAAAACAACATTTTGCTTTATTTTATGGAATCCAATAAAGGAATTGAGCGTTAATTAAAGCAAAAAATACTGAAGCTATAATAAACTGAAACTCTCGATGGCTATCGCTTCAAGTTTCCACTTGAACACGCACATTTTTGCCGTTCATTTCTCGCCGAAAAAATATAGACCACCTACTAATAACTTACTCGAAAAGCAACACTTTTCTGCTCGGATGGCGTAGATGCAAGCACAGACCAATATGAGAAAAGCCACCAAAAGAGCGCCAGCAACACTCGCCAATGTACTTATCTGAAGCGGTTCTGAAAAAAAAAACACAAAATTGGCAATCGAAACGATTAAAAAACCCAAAAAAAGTCCGCAAGCCACCTTTCCTCACATTGTATTTTCTGCAAAATTGCTCGACTTTGTATTAAATTTCCCCATCGACTTCGGTCAGATTCCCGTCGAAAGGACACGGAAATAATCCGCCCTTCAGCATAAGTATCATCGACTAAATTTGTTACACGGATGTATAACAAAGATGCGAACCATCTTATCGCATTACGGTTTCCGCATTTCAGTTTCAAACCAATTCGAATAATGGAACGGTTGTATTTTCACGGAGAAAAACCGACGGCTGGATGGTTTCCAGCGTTTTTAAATTAAAATATGAATCGTCGGGATAAATTGAACATTTTAATGCCGACCTTTTGCGTTTACCGGAAAAACAGTCTTTAAAACCTGGCGATTAACAATGTTAAGACAAAACTGTTTGACATCAACAAGAACCCAAAAAAAATTTTTTTAAATGTTTGTGCTTTTCTCTTCTACAGCTTAAGTGTAAGTTGCGGAAATCTACTGATTCTAACTTACCGGAACTATTTTGGTCATCAATAGCTATAATACAAGAAAATTGCAGTTAATAAACAGCAAAAGCGAGATTTGCTTAGACCTACTTAGAAAGCTTTGAGTTTTGAGCAAAATCGATTGTTTTCACCCGAAAAAATCCGCTAGCCTGGATAATCCCTATCAACTCATAGCAACATAAGCCTGCCCCACCAATATTTCTTTAATATCGTCGCTACTAGTAGATGAGAAGACCGATAAAGCGTCAACAGAACTCACCGTTAACATATAATTGAATCGCGTGCATGTCTTTCCCCTTGTCGTTTTCCACCAGCAAATAATACGTTCGGGAATCCGTTGCCGAAGTGTCTTTGATGTGGAGGATGGTTAAATAACAGTCTTCTCCTTCTTCTTGGCTCACTTCGTCAACTTTGAATTTTCCTGAAAAATTCATCAAATCTTTGACCACTGGACCACAGACGTTCAACTATAAATTTCTGATGAATTCAACTCACAAAATGCTACGAAAAATCATGTGATTGATTAGGTGCTTATTCGTTTCCTTCGAAAATAAACGGTTTCAAGCAACAGGCTTCAAAGTGAAAAAATCCCAAAAATTTATCTAAAGTGTAAAGTTCTAAATTATCCAGGTATCTAAAAAATCCCAAGAGATCATTTTGTATCACACTGTAAATTTTGGTCTTAAAATGAACGGTTTCATGCAATAGCAGACCAATTCAAATCAAAAATCCAATTTCCAATTTAAACCGAGTAGAAAGCTTAAATTTAGCCATTCTGTAGCAGATAGTTGAAGTTCAAAGTTGTCAAAAGTACATTCAAATCGCACATATTTCCAATTTTTGAGTTCTTTATGTTAGTCTAGAAATGAAAAGTTTCAGGCATATAAAAAAACTCCGAAAAGTTAATTCAAATGACACAAAATTCAATTTTTGGCCGCTTTATGAGTATTTGCCCAATAAAGAAGTCTTCATGCAACTGCAAAAAATTCCAACTTCCAATATAAAGTGAGCAGAAATTTGAAATTTGTAGATTCAAYCGAAAATACCTGAGTTAAAATCTCTGAAAAATTCGATCAAATAGCACAAAATTCAAATTTTTGGGTTTCTGATTAATGTTGGTCTAAAAATGAAAAGTTTGACGCAACTGCAAAGAATCCCAACCTCCAATCAAAATCTAGTAGAAAGTTGAAATTCAGCGATTCTACAGACGATACTTAAATTTAAAAAATCTCCAAAGTTCATTCAAATTGCAAAAAATTGTAGTTTTTGAACGCTCTATAAATGTTGTTTGAAACTTTAAAAATCCCAACTTCCAATTTAAAGCGAGTAGAAAGTTGAAATTCAGCCATTCTATAAAGGAAAGTTTTATTGAAAAATCCGGAAACGTTAATTCCTATAACACAAAATTCAAATTTTTGCACGCGTTAGAAATCTTGGTCCAAAAATGAAAGTTTATGGCAACTGCAAAAATTCTGCAAAACTTCCAATTTTAAGCGAGTAGAAAGCTAAAATTTGGCCGTCTTACAGCAGATAATTGAATTGAAAAAACTCTCAAATGTCCATTTAAATCGCACAAAATTCGCGCTTTATGAATCTCGGTTTAAAAATGAAAGGTTTCCCCCAAATGCAAAAAACTCCAACTTCCAATCTGGATCGAGTAGGAAATTGAAATCTTCGCATTTTATAGAACGAGCTTGAATCCAATAACCCCCAAAAGTTAATTCAAACCGCACCAAATTGCCATTTTTTCGCGCTGGATGTTGGACTGAAAATTAACGGTTTCACGCAATTTTCGACTCTGAAATAAAAATCCTGCTACTGATTAACTGCTCACCCATTTCGTTCCCAGCCTCCAACCTCAACGAGCCCCATTCCCATGCGACAGATCTGGGCCTGGGATCTGCACATACAACCATGCTCATATCTACTGGGTGGCCACTTTCAACGTAGATTTCCTGGTTGGCTGTTTGCCGCAAAATCTGCGGCGCTCCTGCAACATAGAGCAAAATAATGAAACCTTAATAAATTATTATCGATTTGGGAAATTAAATTGTACAATTGCAACTAGAAAATGCAGATGATCGCAACGGTGGTCAAAGTTACAGCATCTTCACATCAACTTATTTAATTTAAATTGCCTTGAATTGTCTGGAAGCCAATTTCCTTATTCATTTTAATTAACCTGTTCCATTTACAATTCACTTTAGTACCAGATAATTTGCATTAGATCCTTCAGTCTATTTTCGTTTAATTAAAAAGCAAAAATCCACCGAACGTAGAAACTTCTAATCCCCAAAACAATACAATGACATTGCGTCGAGTTTCTGAGGCAAAGTTCCGAAAACTAGTTTAAGTAAACAATTCGAAACTGTATAGAAATTATGTTACCCAACTTGTATGTATTCGGATAAATTATGGAATAAATTTGCGAATCTATTTCCCATGCTCGGAAGGAATAAAATTGAATTTATATGCGGCACAAGTAGCGGATTAAAGATGAGAGATTAAGTCTGACTTGTTTTTGTTTCTACTATAGACACTTTGTTTTTGGAAATCATAAATACCTACACATTTTATAGAACTGGAATTTTGCTGAGTGAGAAACACATGTTTTGCTCACCGTGTACTTGAAGGATTATCGGCTCACTAACGACGCTCTGTTCCTCTCCTTTGATGATGTTGGTCACTCGGCATCTCCATTCTCCTTGAAACTCATACGTAACATTGTTCAGATACAGTTTCGCTTCTCGTCCTCGTTCAATAATACTGTCCGAATGCGAGGAGGTCTTCTTTTGGACCCATTGGTAGGTCGGAGGCGGATTGCCCTCACCGAGACATTCAAAGTTCACTGGAGAGAACAGAGTGGTGGTTTTGACTCTTTCGCGACCGACACTGATTATTTTTGGCCGATCTGAAACAAAAAATGTGGAAATCATAGAAAATTAAATGTTGTTTCACTAATGTCTGATTCATTTGATACAGTAGTAAGAAAAGATATTAAATTGAGCCCAAAAATTTGCGTTCAGAATTAGGCAACTTTCCCCCATTCCTTCGGCCCCAATAAAACAATATATGTTTATTCACAGTAAAACATCACATATTAACATAGTCCCATAACATTGGATGAGTCTCAATTTCAATAATGGCATTTTCCGCATCGAATTCAGGGTTTTTGTAAGCAATTGAATAATTGCACGTGTCAGCAACCGATAGAGTCAATATTATTCAAATAATAATCGCGCATTATTGCTTGTCACTTCCACTCAAATTCAATTTGTACCGGAAAAAGGGGCGAAATATTAAAGGTCGAAAATTACAATAAAAGGTGTCGAATCGATTGTGTCCATCAGTCCGCACTTTAGCGCAAATCGAGCTGGATCTGCAAGTTATCATCAGTTTGTCAGAAGGTTGAATTTATTCGGGAATTGCCTTCGAGTTCTTTTGTGATTTTTTCCAGTGACATCTTTTTTATCAGCAAAATTGGCCCTTTGCTGGCCATTCCTTGAAACTGGCAAGAAATTTTGTAAATATGCTTGAATCCTCGGTACTAAACTGGAATTACAGTAATAAATGCTGCGTTTGCCTCAAATTTCCTGCCCACCTTAGGGAAATTTTTCCACTTGCATGTGCAAGGTTTACTTTCCAATAACACGAATGCACTTTATAAAATATTCTACGCTTGATACCGAGATTTATGATCCAGAGAACTTAGAGAATATTATTGCCGGGAACGTACAGTAAAATAGAAAAATTGTCTTATTAGAAGGAACTTAACTGGAATTTATGTAACAGAAGTTCAGTAGGAGAATTGAAATATTCCAACTTGATATGGAGATGGATGTCTTTGACTGATTTATTCACATAGGAGAAGGTTACGTTGAGATATTTCCATAAGTTTATCAGTTGGAAAATTGGAATGTTTAATATTTCAATTCAAGACGTTGAAGATTAGCAAAACATTGTCTGTAACCCTGCAAAATAAAGGTTTAAGCACATTTTTAACATTAATTTAACTTGCAACACATGCCAGGAATGGGCAAAGCTTAAAAAAGAAATTAACTGGGCAAGTTGAATGTGGTGTATTAATAAAGTCGTATTAATAATTATTCATCGTCCGAGGGCCGGGAAGCCCTATAAATAACGCAAAGTTATAAAAGTAGCTTTATGCTGATTAAACTGTTATAATTTATCCGCAGACATAACTCCCAACTCATAAATTCCAAGTCGGGCAGGCATTAATAAATACTCCCTGGCTGATTTTGTGTGAAATTACAACTTCAGTATATGCACATTACGTGTTTGAGTAATTTGGCCTAAGATATGATCGCACTGAACGTTTGCAATATTTCAAAGAACAACGGAGACTCAAAAACATTGCCTTTGAACGAAAACATGAATCTACTTACATTTAACATCAATCTGCACTCGTTTCGGCTGAGAATCGCCCGCCTTGTTCCTAGCATGGCACGTGTATAATCCAGAGTGTTGTCGAATCGCTGGACTAAATTGCAACAATTCCTGCAAACTGGCTGGTTGAGTCTGGCCTTCTCTTCGCCACACCACTGAAGCTTTGGGATTTGCATCCACGACGCATCGGATTGCAATGGAATCTTTCAGATCTTCCACATCTTCAGTTGGAAGACCCACAAGGCGAGTCTCTGGCACAACTGAAACAAACCCAAATTTTTCAACTATTTCCGCACTAAATTCGGGATGTTTGTTCAGTTCATAGGCGACTTTCCAGCTTACGCCAGCTAATTTCGACCGCGAAACCATATTTCGATGCGAAAATGAGAGCAAGAAAAGTTGGCAAACTCCAACGATGGAAAGCGGTTCGCCATAAACCAGACGATCCAGAAAAAGAGCGGAACGTCGATTAATTCGGATCACTTAACGCAATAATCCGCGAATCAACGATACGAATGTCTGAAACTAATGGGTTTTTCGGGTTTATAGGCCGTAGTTCGGTAGAATTTCTTCTCGACGTTTTGCAAGCACGAATGGCTGAATGGCGAATGAATGGCATCTTCAGAACTGGTTTACCTGAACGCTTACACTGTTCTGATGCATCCATCAGAACCCACCCGAAAACCCCCAATGTCTTCCTGCATTCGGGCAGTTACGCTTTCTGCCTGCATTTCTACTGAAGGTGCATAATATTCAGTTTTTGTAAAGCAAAATCGCAAATTTCGACAATTTTTTGAATTTTGGAAATTTTCCATCGATTCAGAAGTTTCGCAACTATTAGAAAAGTTGAAACTGATGGG